GGGGGGGCAATAGGGATTTCGCCTAGGGCGTCAAATTGGCTAGAAACGGCCCTGGTGACAGACCCTCGGAGGTGCAAAACAACCAGTACGTGCTTGCATTTGCTTTAGGAAATGACGCAGTTGCTAATGTGAGTGCTGAGGGGACTGGAGAGAAGAGAGGGCACTAAAGCGCATCCCTCTCCATCCCATTCTACCCCGAGACACGTTGCCTAGGTTACACCTCCAGCTGCCACCTGAAGCGAAGCATCGCACCATCCGCCTCGCGAAACGAAAGACAATACCTCACACGCCAACACCTATTGAAAAGCACACAAAAGGGATCTCACGAAACAAAAATATACTCGGAAGAGAGAGACGGCGCATATTAAGCCACGCACGCACTCAGACCCTCCTTGTTGTGATTGTCAGTGGAGAGAGGCGGGCTCACATGGAGGGCCGCTGCTCGGCTCTGCAGCGTCTCCCGCTGCCTGCTCTTCCTCCGCGCGCGTCTCCGCGAGCGCTGTGATGTGAATATTAATGATGCTGCGCGAATCTCCGCGCTCATTTCCACCGCTTTCACCCATCTGAGAGGTAAGAGCGCATCCGTATTTTGCCGTATTCGGTGCGGTTTGCACTATTATTCAGTGTCCATTTCATGCTGTGGAAGCTCGCGAGGTGTGTTTGAGGATGCTCAGTCGACGCAGTGTTGTTCTCAATGAAGAGGCGAAGCGAGTCAATGAGCGAGGTCTTTCAGTATGGTGCCTGTACGCATATTTATACTGGCTGTTCCGTTCTTAAAAAAGACTTCACCGTTGGGATGTGTCATTCAAGCTATAACAAGTAAACATTTGGTGGTCTTTAGTTGGTGAACACAATGACTGGCGGTCAGTTGAAGGAAATGGTCTTTATGGTTATGGGGACGAAAAACAGATGCACTTATCAGTATGTTTATAGTTAAAGAAGATAATTTCACAGAACCCATTAGATGGATTTTTGGGAGATAGAGGGACGCATTTGTGATCCTTAAATGGCATTCAACAAGTGTAGACTATCTCATTCTGCTATGTGCCCGATATTCTCCTGATAGGCTGCCATCCTGTGTGTGTGTGTGTAACTGATTGCTTGCATATGTGTGTGGGGGCTCTATGCAGTCAGACTATTATATTTTCAGCTTTTTTGACCTTTTGTTTGAATAATTCAGACTTTTGGGTCAATGTAATCTATTAGTGCAGGAATTATTTTTAGGAAGGGAGGTTTGCTTTTAGTCAATGTATTAAGCCAATGAGACTTATATCGTATGGGGAGGGAGACTGGTCCAAATAATCCTCTGCCCATGATTTCAGCCTCTCTCACTCCCTCTCTCACTCTTTCTCTCCCATCTGTGTCCCTGTCTTTGTCATTTCTTTCTCTGAAATGTATACAACCAGTTAATCACATCAACTATGCGTTTCAGAGGTGGAGAACGAGACGGAGAGGTGGGTTTTTTGGAACTCCCATTCATGGAAATCCAAAGGTGCGGCGCAATAATGGGCCCAGTCTGCAGAACAAAAACACACTGATTTAACTCATCCAGCATAAAGCATAATCCTCTTATACGAGCAAGCACAATTAAACACCGGCCCTATAGTGTAGGGCTGCTGTTATGCAGGTAATCTCTCTCTCTCTCTCTTGCACCCTGTTCTCTTTCATCAAAACTATCAACATAGAAAAATCAGTATTTCCATTAGCTAATTCATTGCAGGGGAAAAATGTTTCCTTTATGGATCCAGACTTCTAATGTGTCCGAAAATAAAAGGCCAACAGTTATTGCTGTCCATTGTTGTTGTTAAAAGTGTTGCTGACATATTAACTTTGTTTTAATCTCAGACTATAGTTCATCATAGTGTGTAGGATGTAGAGTCTGCCTTATTTTACAGTGTGGAGGCCGTGGTGCACCCTGTTCTCTTTCATCAAAACTATCAACATAGAAAAATCAGTATTTCCATTAGCTAATTCATTGCAGGGGAAAAATGTTTTCCTTTATGGATCCAGACTTCTAATGTGTCCGAAAATAAAAGGCCAACAGTTATTGCTGTCCATTGTTGTTGTTAAAAGTGTTGCTGACATATTAACTTTGTTTTAATCTCAGACTATAGTTCATCATAGTGTGTAGGATGTAGAGTCTGCCTTATTTTACAGTGTGGAGGCCGTGGAATATGTGTGTGTTTAGTTTATGCTGTTAATGTGTGTTTGTGTGTAGAGTTTCGGGTTGGCTAGCTAGAGATTGCGGCTTTAAAAAGCTCAGTACAATGAATTTGCATCTCAGTGGGAAAAAATAAATGGATTTCGTATTTGTTTCAAACACAAAAGCCAGGAAATGCCTTTAAATGTTGCACGAGCCAGATGGGAACTGTGTTTCTACTTTTTATTCCACTATGGATTGGGTCTGCTGTGCTGCATGATCCCTTTGCGTGTCTGTGTGTGTGGGTGTTAGAGTGCGTATATCTGTGTGTGTGTGTGTGTGTGTGTGTTGAGGGGGGTGTTGATTGTGGTTCTATATAAACCATTTGCTGCTGAGTGTATTTGTTTCCATGGTTACCCCCATGCCAATGTAGATCACGTCATCACCAGACCAGACCTCTGCAGCTATTGTTTACTGATCGTAGAGGAGAAGACTGAATGTGTGTTCGGCTTTTAGATACGTTCTCCACAGACCTTAAGTTCTTCATTGTTTTCTGTCCTTTTGTCTAGCCTGTTGCTTAGACTGTGTTTAATTCCTGGATGTCTTGCTTGGATTCATGTCTCCTGCTATATTTTGACCACCTGTCATTTTTCTGTGATAGACACACATGGAGGGCTATTTATTCGAAACCACTCAGTGACTCCTGTTGGTTGACTTGGCACGCAGTGTCCTCTGCTTGTATCGCCATCTGTAGCGCTCCGTACAGAGCTGCATGAGTAAGAATAATCATCCATTTTAATGCAATGCAAATAATTTCTATTTTCCTAATTTTTCTTCTCACTACTCCTAGTTTGTTTTAGGTCCCGAGAGAGGTGTTTGTCACTGTCATGTGAGCCTAACTTTGCTTTTTTATACAGTAAGTCCTTTATTTTTTCTTTATGAATTATGTCCGTTTTTTTTCTTCTTCAAAAAAGAGAATATTTTTGATTGTGGTGTGGTTTATGAATCTTTTGTATATACACAACACTAGCACACAAGTGTTTTTAGTTTGGCTTAACAAAAGTTACGTTTTAATAATTAAGATACGTTTGTAAATATATTTAAATATAAAAAAAAACAGCTATAAATAATAGTAATAAGATATATTCATTTAAATAACAAGTTCATTATTGTTGTGTATGTGCAGTGTATTTCATTAAGAAAGGAACTGAGGTTGTAATTTTAAAATCTGATGTTTTACATTTGTGAAAATGAAAAGACCAGCACATACTTCTTCAAAAAAGAGAATATTTTTGATTGTGGTGTGGTTTATGAATCTTTTGTATATACACAACACTAGCACACAACTGTTTTTAGTTTGGCTTAACAAAAGTTAAGTTTTAATAATTAAGATACGTTTGTAAATATATTTAAATATAAAAAAACAGCTATAAATAATAGTAATAAGATATATTCATTTAAATAACAAGTTCATTATTGTTGACACAGCGATCTCTTCTCTTTATAGCTCATTCTGATAATTCAAGAGCATCCAGCTGCAGCATGAATAGAGTATAGGAATAAATAAATTAATAAAATTCATCAGAGAAGAGAGGTAAAAGAAGAAGGGGGAGTTAAAGATGGATAAAGGTGAAATGAATAGAAGAAAACCATTCACTGATGAGGGTCAGAGGTATGAAGAGAGAGGGGTAAACATTAAAGAAAGGTGAAAGCAGAAAGAAATAGGGAAAAGAAGAGAGGAAAGGAGAAATCCAGAGAAGAGGAGTGATGAGATGAGATGAGGGTCAGAGAGAGATAAAGGAGTGAAAGACAGGGGACGGGTGTGTTTGTTGCTGAAGTGACTGTTTTTCTTGTAAATGCAGCCTCAGTGTTTGTGTGTGTGTGTGTGTGTGTGTGTGTGTGTGTGTGTGTGGAGCTGGAGTATTGATCAGAGTGATCCACTCCAGCACTGAATGTTGACTCTGCACTAAAGGTGACACACAGGCATCTCTGTCTGACTTTTTGCTTTTAAATACAGTACATATATATATATATATATATATATATATATATATATATATATATATATATATATACTGTATGTAAAAGCAGAAAGTATATATATATAGTTACCATACTGCCTATACCAAAATATAAGTAAGTTTCTTTAAAACTAAAGTTTTAGAATATTTACATTTACATAAATTAATATAAAAGCTTTATTGTATTTTATAAATTAAAATGGTCACTGTTTAGGACAAAGATTAATGTACATCAAAATCAACACATGGCTAATAACGTCATTCTAGTAAGAACAAAAGCTTTTCTTAAGACAACTGTATAGGGTAGATTTACTAGCAGATATAGTTATTCTCTAGACCAATGACAAAACTGAAAAATGTATCGCAAATATATTTTTATTTTCCTAAATTAATTAGTATTTTACGTATTATTTATCAAAGTAAAGCATTGTAGGTACTTTCTAAATGTAATGTAGTATCTATACAATATTCCAGCAAAGCCTTTGACTAATGAATTGATTACTGGTTTCCATTTTACTTTTTGCATGGATTTATGGATTATGGATTTAACAAAATGATATTGGCTGGTTTATTCATGGTTGAATCTCAGTCGGGATTTTGTTGAAACTCTGCTTTAACTTTGACAAAGCAGTGATATTGTACACCTTTAATTTTTGAAAAGTGATAGTCACAGTGCAGAGTGAAGTGTTTAAATATTAAACACAATGTGTCATAAGCATTTCTGCTGTGAACAAAGAAAGTGATAAAAATTTGATCAGCAGTAACTCTCAAATGATGTGAGAATATTTCAGTTTAAATGAGCTGACTTTAAAATGGCTTGAAACCCAACAAAAGAATATGCTTCCATATGGTCAATGGTTCTCATTAAATTAACACAAAATAATGCAGAAGACTAACAGTAATCATGCAAAATTAGGTGGTGAATATAATGTAATTAGAATAACGTTACTCACTGCTGTTCAAACCTCAAATCTTTTCTTAATGCTAATCATAATGGATCTTGTGATTAGACAGTGCTGTTCACACTGTATATGGCATAACACCCCGTGTTAGCGTTATGTCCGCAGCACTGTCTCATTTGCATAGTCCACCTCTAAATGTGTCATTCCGCCCACAGCAATGCCATGAATTATGAGACTGTACTGCAGAAGCTGTAGTGTACTACTCTGTGATTACGTTCAGCTGCATTACTGCCATTGCTGTTTGCACTAAATTAGCTGTTCCTTTTGTTTTCGCTGTGTATTTTACATACATTATATTATCTTCTGACATGGTTTTCTCTGTGTCTGTTTCAGCTGTTTAAAGACAGAACGTTTTAAGAGCAGCATGGCAGAAGCCCCCGTTGGAGAGGACTCACCCAAAGAGAAGGAGAGTGCCACCCCACTTCCCCACAATCCCCTGCCAGGGGTTGGGGTTGCTCTATGGGAAAGAGTATTGAAAGCAAGTGTTACGGCTGGCGCTTTCCTCCTGCTGTACACACTGTCTCAACTCACAGTGAGTTTATGCACATTTCTCAAATAATTAACAAATAATTCCTTGACACGTACATATCACACTTTATGCAGATGTGCACAGTACACCATTAACTATTCATTGATTTTTATTGCTTTATGTGTGAGAGTGTGTTTCAGTTATACCTATGTTCTGGTTTTGTCTATAAGTGGCAAATTTGGCTTTTAGATGTACAGTAATTAAGCAGTTGATCATTTTGTTTTTCTTTGCGTTTGAATGTGTTTGTGCATATAAGTATAGAAAAACAGGCTGTTCCGGGGTCTGCTGTGATCGACCCTATAGTCAATAACTGCACAGCATGCCTTCCTGTCTGACAAACTGGCAAACAGCTGTGCAAGGCTTATGTATACACATAAACTACCGTTCAAAAATTTGGGGTCAGTACCTTTATACTTTTAATATTCTATTCAGTGAGGCTGCATTATCTTGATCAGAAGTGATAATAAAATAATTTAATGTTACAAAGAATTCAATTTCAAATAAACGCTATTCTTTTGAACTTCATCAAAGAATCCTGAAAAATGCATCATGGCTTTATCATGGTATAATGCATTATAATTATTCGTAATGTGCTTTGTATTAGATTTATATCTTGTCATAAATAATTATAAGCAAATTTAAAATGCATAGTGTAACAATGAAATGATAAGTGTTATATTTGTATTAACTGGGGTTACAACTATTCATGAGATTGTACAATGCATTATAAGGTGCATTACAAGGCATAATTAATGCATCAAAATTACTTCTATAATGCATTACACATAAGAGCTTTAAGTAAAGTTTGCAGCACAACTGTTTTTGAGCAGCAGTTCAGCATATTAGAATGATTTCTGAAGGACTGTGTGACACTAAAGACTGGAGTAACGGCTGATGAAAATTCAGCTTTGCAATCACAGGAAAAATTACATTTAAAAAACAGTTATTATAATTTGTATTATTATATTTCACAATATTACTGTTTTTACTATTTGATCAAATAAATGTAGCCTTGAACACAAGACACTTCTTTCAAAAACAATACAAAAAAATCTTGCCAATCCTAAACTTTTGAACGGTAGTCTATTTGCAAAATATTTTTTATTTATTAATTTGAAATTAAGCTTGTGGCAAAATACCAAAACACATTTAGTAATTCATATCCAATGTCTCATATCTTTCTTTGCCACCCCTAGTTGTTGATATGTAAGTCACTGTTGTGTATTCAAGAGTTTGTGTGTAATAATAAGTGTGTTTTGTTGATGTGTTCAGGGTTTGTGGGTCCTTTACATGCTGAATGGATACAGGGCTTTTCCAGCAGCACATAAAGTTTTGGATCTCCTTCAGTACCTTCTCTCCACCAGTGATGCCTATGATCAACAAGTAATAGAGCTTAAACTGAAATATCTTCTCTGATGTGAAAGAGAATTTTATATCATATGTTGTTCATTGTCTGCAGATGGAGATATGGAGGGTGGAAAGCTTGTTGCCCCTCATAGCCACACTCATCTTAGGTGTAGTCATCCTTGGTACTGGAGTGAGTATGTTCTTTATGTTTTTGTCTTTTTGTTACTCAGAGCTTTAGTTTCGCCTGTTTATAAAATAACTTGTATAAATGCACTACAGCATGTGCTTGAACTTTCCTTTCTCCCCTCACTTGCTGTCACAACAGACGCTGTTCTGCATTAAAACCCTGGTGCCTGGTAACCCATCTTGCTTCCCTGATGACCGTCGTCAGTCCATGAGCAGGCAGCCCTCCTTTACATATTCAGAATGGACAGATGCTAAACAGGAGGATTTCTACGAGCTGGATGCTGTTCCGGAGACGCCCGTGTTTGACTGCTTTATGGACATGAAGACCGAGGCTGACCCTGTCACTCTCACTGTCAAACCTGTGGGCTTGCAGGAAAGGTAAGAAAATCACATCTGTATGCATTGAATTTGATGTATATTACATTGCCAGATTGGCAATCTGATATACCGAGTTCCCTTCATTGATACATTCATATAAACCCCCATGCATTTTGAGCATAGAGAAAAGTCAGCTTGCTGTGCCTCTACAGAATTTTCTATGCTAGCGCATCTATTCTCGTGTCCCGACTCTGGTCTTTATTAACAGACTGTCTTCAGAAAAGTTTCGAAAGGCATTTTCTTTTCATCTTATGTCTTTATAAGCACAGCTGCTTTGTTTACAGTGGTCACCAAGATAAAGTTTTAGCACTGCTATTCCATAAGCGCCACCTGCTGTCAGAGAGTAAATTAGCATTTTTAGCATATCTTCACAAAGCTGAAGTCAGACCATTCTGTTTGCTTGAAATCTTGAAATTGTACATATTTTGTACATACCTAATTTATATATATATATATAAAATAACTGCCCATGCATCTTTGGATTGTGATTAAAATTCAGTGGTTGCCTCTAATTTCTAATGGCTACAGATTCAGCCTGTAATATATGGAGGACGAAACCTGCAAAAACAATAAATAAATAAATAAATACACAAATAAATAAATAAATATGCAAATAAATAAATAAATGTCTGTATAAATTCACAAATTCTTGTTTAAATACATGTAGAAATAATTAAACGTGATTAAAGTAGGCAAATAAATTAAATAAATTGGTGGACAAATGGAAAATGTTTAAGGAAATGCTAAACTCATCCTATTTATTTTCCTTTGATCACTCATTTATTTCTGAATGTAGTTCCACATTTATTTTTCCTCTGCACAACATGCTAATGAGAGGGTGTCAACCATGAACTTGGTCGGGGTCAAGTCATAGCTGGGGGCGCGGCTTTCAAGCTGACAGGAAATGCATGGTGTTAATCCAGTATGGCCTACGTAAAGTCACTTTTTCCGTTTAACTGAGCAAGATACATAAAAAACTGGGCTGTACTGTCCGTACAGTAATTGTGACTTTACAAATGACCTAAAGAAATGGCCAGTGTCGTTTCCTGACGTAATTTTTTGTTACCCGATTGAGTCTCCAGCTAGAGACAACTGTAATATCAGCATCCCATGGTCATCGTGAGATGACTGGTATGAAGTGGTTTATTGTGTATTTATTTATTTATTTGTTTTTGCAGGTTTCGTCCTCCATAGTAATAGAGCAAATAAACATCTTGTTCATGTACTCTTTCATTCTTTCTTGTCTGTTGCTTAAAGAAATACATATATCAGTGGCGTTCCGTCCATATAAGCTGCGAATGCTCCGCATACCAAGGCCATTTGAGAGAATAAGTTCACGGGATAATTCATATAAACATGATTATAAGTTGATCCCTTGTTATTTGAAATGTAACTTAAAGCTTAAAGAGTTAGGAATAAGTACGTACATTTATTTGCCAAACGGCAGTGATTTTCTTTAAAGGGGTCATATGATGCTATTTTAAAGATCATTATTTTGTGTATTTGGTGTAACAGAATATGTTGACATGCTTTAATGTTCAAAAAACACATTATTTTTCAAATACTGTACATTATTGTAGGTCCTCTATGCCCCGCCTCTCTCAAAACTTGTGTCATAATTAAACATGGAAAAGCAATTGTTTAATATTTAAAGGCAACTTTAAATAAATATTTTAACACAGATGAATTCCCTTTTCATGTATTCAGAATTTCATATCCTAAAGTGCATAAATCAGAAACTACTATAAAAAAAGAAAAGTAGTCAAAGTAGTCATGACCTGTTCGCACTAATTTTACTAATTTTAAGTTTTAATAAAGAACCTGAAAAGGCTTTAGCCCTTGAAAAACTCTGAATGCATCTGAATTTACATTGTATATTCAAATTACATTGTCACAAAAACTCTGTTGTGATTTTCAGGAGAGGTTCTAACGTGTCGCTGACGTTGGACATGTGCACACCTGGTACTACAGAGCCCTATGGAGCGCTGCTGTCCCCTAGAGAGCAGAGCGCACAGGAATACCTGCAGAACGCATCCAACCTGCTCACCCCCGAGCAGCTGCACAAGCGCGCACTGGACGACGCTGCGCTGCAGGCCGAGTTCTATGTGAGTGCCACTCACAGTAACATCCATGTACAATATAAAACAGTGATCGTAACATGACAGCACTTCTCTTGTAATTCTGGTGGAAACAGGAAACACCCATGAACTTCGTGGACCCTAAAGAATACAGTTTTCCTGGCGTGGTGAGGAAGAATCGCTACAAAACCATACTACCAAGTGTGTATAATACTCTGCATACAGTAAAATGTGGAAATGGCTGATGAGGTTTGTTACTGATGATATTGGCATGTCTTTGAATGTGTAAGATCTTAACTCTAAATTGCAGACACACACAGCAGAGTTTGCTTAAAAGCAAAAGAAGAAGGTGATTTTCTCAGCACCTACGTCAACGCTAATTATTTGAAGGTGAGTATGTGTTAGCGTCAAATGAAAATCTTATTTTGCATATTGATGTAAGCTGTGATGTGTTCATTTTTAATGAACTGAATAAATTAGTTTGTGATGAAACAACCACATTTTTTGAGTTGTTAATAATTTAGCATTGTCCTAAAATAGATTTTTTTAGTTTTTTTTGCTATATTTCAGTAACATTTTAAGGTAATAAATATATGAGCCCTATGTCATAGCTTTTATGATTTATTCTGAGATCACAAACTATTAGGAGACTGTATAATGTTTGAAAAATAATAATTTGATGTGGTTTTGCAGATGTGTGCAGTATTTCTGATCACATAGAAATGCTATAGGCTGAAAAGTTAAGGCTCTCTAATCAATCAGCCATATAAGGTTGTTCAAATTTTCTTCTTTCTTTCAAACTTTTTTCTTTAGGGCTATGGAGGGAAAGAAAAGGCATACATTGCTACACAGGGTCCAACTGTAAACACAGTGGGGGATTTCTGGAGGATGGTTTGGCAGGAGCACTGTCCCCTTATTGTCATGATCACCAACATTGAAGAAAAAAATGAGGTCTTTATATTACACACATATCACATGATTGGGAGGAATTATTCTTTCATGCTTAGCAATTAAACATCTTTGAGATATTTTAATAATTAATATGTATTCTCTCCTTAATTATCAGGGTAATGCAAACTTGAATTAACACCAAATAGTTCTTCTTGTCCAACCCGTAGTCCTGTCACTATTCGATACTTAGCACAAACTCAGGCTGAACATCAAACTACTTATCATATACTCAAATGTTAATTTGCAACTTTAGGTATTTTGCAGAAGTCAAAAAGTAAATAAAGACACCAGGGTTGAGGTGATTTTGACTCTACAGTACATGCCTTGAAATATTTAGGTGAATTCCAGTGAGTTATCAGAAATCATGAATAGAATTTTTTCTGAACGGTTTAAAATGGGCTTTGATGGACTGAATAAAACATATATTATATATGAATCAAATAAAACATTTGTGTGTGTGTGTGTGTGTGTCCCACAGAAATGCACAGAATACTGGCCAGAGGACAGTGTCATCTGTGAAGATATCGAGATCACTGTCAAACAGGTCATCCAGGCAGATGACTACAGTCTAAGGATTTTCACTGTGAAGGTTTGTTTTGTGTTTGAGTGTGTGTGTTCATGTGATTATGTTTAGGACGCTTATGTTGAAAAGTTTTAATAAAAATAACTGACTTGCATTTTTAGTGTTTTATGTGCAAATTAATAACTAAAGGAATCTTAATGTATTAACTTGTTTAATTTGATCTGTTACATTTTTACCAAAAATATGGCAAAATGATACTAACTGAAAGAATAGAATTTTGAAAGTTGAGTATAGGAAGGCTGTATCTTGGTAATTTCTTGGTCTATTGAAACAAAATGATGCACATGTCATTGTGACTGTGCCCTGAGGGTACTCCAGCAGTTTGGTGACAGTGCCACCTATAGGTTAATGTTGCATTACAACATTGCAGCAACATTGAATAACTTTATAGCCCATGAAAGACAAGACAACTGACTGTATCATATTTTGCATCCTCTTTTAAACTAGAATCCAGAGACCAAAAAAAGTGAAATCTGAGAATGCAGATTACGTGCTGTTTTTAAAAGCCATCACTTTTTAAAAAGTAATTTCTACAATTACAAATACAATTTCTTTATTCAGTTTCATGTAGACATTACAATGTAGTATAACTAATAAAGACAAGACTAATATTTACAGAAGAGTCTAACCTTCTAAAAGTGTGTGAAAGACAAGAAAGATGAGAAGGACAGAAAGAGAGAAGTCCAGGTTGAGCGCAATATTTTTTTGCTTCTGTTTTCTACTGTTTCCTCTGGAGGCATGGCTGTCATGGCAACAAATATTCTTAGAAATGCAGTGTTTCACATAATTGAAGGAAATATAGTTAATCAAAAACTCTGTGTAAGATATCTTAAAGAGATATATCAAAGAATGTGTATATGTGTTAGTATGAGCATCATTTGGTATGTATATATGATGTTGAACATTATCAACCTGATAATCATTTTCCCTGATAATATTTCAACAATCATGTTTATGTGTCTTCTCTCAGTTGTTTGGAATCAGAACTAGACATTTGTGAATCATTATTGATCAGTCAAATGGGTTTGCAAAAAGATCTGAAATTGTTCTTGATTCAGTTTAATTCATTTGAACAGAACCCCAGTACTGATGAAGGCTAGAAACGCTCCTGTGTAATACATGTGTGTTAAGCCTGGTACACACTTTGTGATTTATGAGTGTTTTACAATTGTTGCTTGTCAGATTGTACGAACAGGATCCCAAGTATAAGCCATGTTACACAGGAATTTCAGTTGTCAGACTGTATAACAGTCAAGTCTCATTAAAAATGGGCATAGACATAGGATTTACATAGTCAATCCTTGACATGTTTTGTGACGGACGGTGATGTGTGTGGAGCAAAGGGTGTTTTTTCTGTGCTCCTAAAGGTTCTTGATTTCACAGTTGTCACAGGAGAAGCCATACTGCAGGATGTGCCTCAAAAGTTCTGACAGAATTTCATCAGGTTGCAATGGTCATCCATCGGCTTTCAGCACACATGTTAAACTAGTGATCAAAGGCTACAGCTTTTGACCTTGAATAAGAGGAATCTTGTAGGATTTTTCTCAGATGGCCAAATCAAATGGTCAAATTTGAGTGTGCACCCGGCTTTACTGAACTGTAAATGTTTATTAACAAGTTGGTGAATGTTTGTGTGTAGAGTGAGGGTGAGGAGCGCACTCTCAGACAGTACTGGTACACATCCTGGCCAGATCAGAAAACGCCAGACAAGGCCCCGCCTCTTTTGGAGTTGGTTAGGGAAGTGGAGGAAGCGAGGAAACAGGCTCCGCCCAACAGTGGCCCTGTCATTGTCCACTGCAGGTAACACACACTTTTCAAAAAAGTTGTTAAAGTGACAGTAAGAAGAAAAAGCTAATATATTTAAACATCGTTTTCTCTACTCTTAGTGCAGGGATTGGACGCACTGGCTGTTTCATTGCTACCTCTATCTTGTGCCAGCAGCTAAGCAATGAAGGGGTGGTTGACATCCTGCAGACTACTAGCCAGCTACGCTTGGACAGGTAAAATATAGATATACTGTACATCCTTTGAAACACAAGTGTCAATTTGAGTTGAGACAGCAGCAGAATAAATGTTAGTTGTTTGGCCTCAGTGGTATCCGGGCCAACCTTTAGTCATGGAGAAAAATCCTCGCAAGACCTGTTGGTGTTACATTAGGCTATTGTTAAGTGCCAGGTTGCACTGCTAGATGCTATTAAAGGGATAGTTCACCCAAAACTGAAAATTCTGTCATTAATTACTCACCCTCATGTCTATCCAAACCCATAAAACCGTTCATCTTTGGAACACAAATTAAGATATTTTTGCTTTCTGCCCCTGCATAGACAGTAATGAAACTACCACGTTTAAGGCCCAGAAAGGTAGTACAAAAATAACAACTTTATTCAACAATTTCTTCTCTTCCATGCCAGACTTCGACGTGCATTCACGACAGTACCACGACGCATGTGTGTGTATTCATCTGCTTGCAAAAACGGCTGTAGTGCATCCGGGTTTATGTCGGAACTCAGGTTCCTGCATCAGCAGCGTCACACACGTGTGTCATAGTACTCTCATGAGTGGTGGTGAAGATTAACACGGAAGAGAAGAATTGTTGAATAAAGTTATTTTTGTTTACTTTTTTTTGTACTTCGTAGCTTCATAAAATTACGTTTGAACCACTGATGTCACATGGACTTTTTTAACAATGTTCCTCCCTACTACAGTATGTTTCTGGACCTTGCACATGGTAGTTACATTGCTGTCTATGGAGGGTCAGAGAGCTCTCAGATTTCATAAAAAATATCTTAATTTGTGTTCTGAAGATGAAAGAAGGTCTTACAGATTTGGAAAGACATGAGGGTGAGTAATTAATGACAGAATTTTCATTTTTGGGAGAACTATCTCTTTAAGTACACATTAATAGTTGGTCTCATGTTGTTGCTGCTGTGATTTCAGAGGCGGCATGATCCAGACAGCGGAGCAGTATCAGTTTGTTCATCATGTACTCAGCCTGTATGAAAGACAGCTTCGGGAGACCTCAGAAGAGTAAAGCCTCCATGAGCGCACAACCTTCACACCACTCCTCACAGAGCAGTTGACCTTCATCCGAACACATGGGGCAGGGACTGACCCTCAGTACCTCATGTCTCATGTCTTCAAACACAACAGAAGTTTTAGGAGCAGACCCAATATTAGATTTTAGCTGAGTCCAATCTCCAATACCTAAATCCCACCAATCAGTTATTAAATTTACTTTGTCTTTTTTCTTTACCATAACAGTAACATAAAGCGGTCAGTTATGTCATACACAAGTACTGCCCACATATTAACGCTCAGCAGACCATCAGTGCTCAAAAGCGACAATGTTTGAATGCGTGCATACCTCTTATGCAGTGGTATGAACACAATAACAAGCAGACACCAGGGCCTCCATTTATGATGTAAATTTAACATTAGGTTTAGGGACCTCCTCAATTTCTGAGCCGACAAATACAGCAATTTTCATTTTACTGCTAAGACATTTTTACAGGATTTATAACTCAGTGTTAAGATGAGATTTGTTGTAAAGTGTGCGTGTACATTTATAGGTTGAAAGATCAACCTCTTGGCAATCTGAACATCAGTATGTTTGTGTGTGCATGTGTATGTGTGAGATAGTGTCGCAGAAACAGAAGGGGAGAGAGAGGTACTGTTTACTATGTGTTCGATGATTATCAGACTTTAACTCCGGATGTGCGGTTGTTCTCTAGAAGAGGTTAGCCTATAACATTTAATACAAAATGGCCTTAATATGTGTCTTTCTGTTCGTACTGGGGTCCGTATGGTTGTGTGTAAATGTTGTCGGGCAGAGCTAAAGGCAGTGTGGTGTTTCAGCCTGTCATCATCTCATTCGGTAAGACTGAGAGAGGGACAGAGACTGATCTCCGTACAGAATGATGTACATTTTCCCTCAGCATACCTTTGCCTTCTCGATTTGCGTGTTGTCGGATGCTATATCGTGTGAAACATTTTAGTTGGACTCTAAAAAGCATTGATGCTGCACCTCAAGGTTTTATGTATCAAAATGCCGAAACACTGTATCCAACTAATGTTAAATTTGTAAATCACAGCTTGTATCAATAGCAGAAATCATGACAATGGGACATATATAGTTGTGATGTTTTTTGCTACTTTCTGTTTATTTTCGCTGCTTGTTTTACTCTAGTTATATGTGGGTCTGCGTATCTGATTAGTTAAGACGTATAATCAGTATTTGCCTGAGTTGGCAGTTCGTACTGCTTTGCTGGGACTTGCAGTTTGCATGAGCAAGTACATTTTGAACTTCTTTTTAATTATGAGCAAGGAAATGTTTAAATTAGAAGCAGACATCTGTGTGTGATTATGTGCAAAAGCAGAGTGTCTGCTGTTGGAATAAGCATCTTCAGTCCAACAGACTCGTGTGATCCAGCTGGAAGTACCAATGCAAGCTCTCCTCTGAATTTCTTTAGACAGTACTGCTACCACCCTAATTGTCTCCAGTCGTTCTTGAGCTAGTCGTATGTCCTCAAAATTATGTTTCCTTCCAGGCAGCTCTGAGCTGAAATTAGGAGGTTTACAGAAGCTTGAAAACACCTCCTCGTTACACAAGAGATTGTACTTTTTTTTTGGTAAGTGTTGTTAGTTCAAGGCCTCATGATAGTTTGCCAGAAATGAGAATGACTTTCATTCACGTGCTTTAATCGCTGCTGTTATAGTCTTTTTATTATTGCAGAACTGCTTTCGTGTTTTAGTTGGTATAGAGTAATTGAATTTTATTATGTTTTTAATGAACTAACATATTAGTCTATTTATTGAAAGAGTTTTGTCTGTTTTTGTGCTGTTATTACACTGCCAAAGACTGTAGTGATTGGTCCATACCGCAAAACCTGAACAATTTGAATTCTGTATTTACAAACTTTGAAAACTGAAGTTTTAACACCAACATGTGGAATTGTGTACATGTATAAAACCAGCATTTATATATTTTTAAAGTGAAAAATCTGAATTCCCACTGTAAAACCTGTTCTCTGACTTACACAACCTTTCTTGATCAGTTTGTTATCTTTTCTTACATGCATGTTAGTATATTATTTTATGCCACTGTTTGCCTCCTTTTCATAATGTGTATGTATGTATGTATGTGTATATATATATATATATATATATATATATATATATATATATATATATATATATATATATATATATATATATATATATATATATATATATATATATATATATATATATATATGTGTGTACACGCTTATATATACAGTATATATATATATATATATATATATATATGTGTGTGTACATGCTTATATATATATATATGAACATACAGTATATAAATAAATGAAACTAAAAGCTAAATCTAAATCTAGCTCTACAAATTATATACAGTGCCTTGCGAAAGTATTCATACCCCTTAATTTTTTTCACATTTTGTTATGTTGCTGCCTTATGTTAAACTGCTTTAAATTACTTTTTTTCCCCCCACATCAATCTACACTCCATACACCATAATGACAAAGCAAAACAGAACTGTCACAACTTCGTAAATGTATTAAAAATAAAAAACTGAAATAAGTACATTGCATAAGTATTCATACTTTTAACTAAATGTTCAGCTGAAGAACCTTAACAGCCTCAAGTCTTTTTTGTTTGATGTGACAAACTTTGCATATCAGTATTTGGCAATTATCTGCCATTCTTCTCCTCACCTCTTCACCTTTCAAGCTTTGTCAGGTTGGATGGGGGCAGATGCACATTTTCAGGTTTCTCCAGAAATATTTCCCTGGGTTCAATCCCAGGCTCTGGCTGGGCCACTCAAGGACGTTCACACAGTTGTCTATAAGCCACTCTTGCTGTGTGCTTAGGGTCATTGTCTTGTTGGAAGGTGAACCTTCTGCCCAGTCTGAGGTTCTGAATGATCTGGACTAGGTTTTCATTAAGGCTATCTCAATATTTTGCTGCACTGAGCGTTCCTTCTACTCTGATGAGTCCCTCAGTCCCTGCTGCTGAAAAACAGCCCCACAGCATGAGGCTGCTACCAGCACACTTTACTTTTGGGATGGTACTCTGCAAGTGATGAGCAGTGCCTGGTTTCCTTCAAACATGATGCTTGGAGTTGAGGTTCATCAGACCAGAGAATCCTGTTTCTTAGAGTCTGAGGGTCCTTTAGGTGCTTTTTTGTAAATTCTAAGTGTGTTTTCATGTGTCTTAACTGAAGAGAGGATTTAGTCTTGCCAAACCGCCATAAAGCCCAGATTGGTGGAGTGTTGCAGTGGTGTTTGTCCTTCTGTAGATTTCTCCTATCTCCACATATGATCATGGAGCTCAACTAGAGTGACCATCAGGTTCTTGGTCACCACACTAACCAAAGCCCTTCTCCATCAGTTGCTCAGTTTGGCCAGGAGGCCTGCTCTAGGAAGAGTCCTGGTTGTTTCAAACTTCTTCCATTAAGGGTAACAGAGACTACATGCTTCAGTGAACCTTTAATGAAGCAGAATTTTTTTTCTGAACTCTTCCCCCGATGTGTGGCTTGACATAAACCTGTTTCTGAGCTCTACAGGCAGTTCTTTTGACCTCAGGGCTTGATTTTTGCTCTGATATGCATTATCAGCTGTTAGACCTTTTATTAAGATGTGTGTACCTTTCCAAATCATACCCATTCAATTGGCTTTGCCACAGGTTAACTTCACTCAAAGTGTAGTGACATCTACAAGCAATTTGAATGCCCCTGAGCTAAATTTGAACTGTCTCAGATAACTGAGAATGGAATCATTTAAATATTTTATTTTTAATACATTTGCAAAGATGTTAAAAAACAGTTTTTTGCTTTACCATTATGGTGTATGGAGTGTAGATTGATGTGGAATAAAAGTCATTTAAAGCAGTTTAACATAAGGCAGCAACATAACAAAAATGAAAAAAATATACTTTTGCAAGGCACTGTATATATAGATATAGATCTATATATATAATTTGTTTTATTAATAGAGTTTTATTCAGTTATTTATTAATTTTTAATTATACAGTATACGAGTTCAAAAGTTTGGGGTCAGTAACATTTTTTGGGGTTTTGAAAGAAGTCTCTGAGGCCACATTTATTTGTTAAAAAATACAGTAAAAAGGAAAATGTAATTTATTTCTATGATGGAAAAGCTGAATTTTCAGCAGTCATTACTCCAGTCTTCAGAAATCATTCTAATATGCCGATTTGGTGCTAAAGTAACATTTCTTATTATTAGCAATGTTGAAAACCGCTGTGCTACTTGATATTTTGGTACAAGCCATGATAAATACTTTTTTCAAGAATCTTTGATAAATAGAAAGTTCAAAAGAATGACATTTATTTACAACAGAATACTGTTGTAACACTGAAAGTCTTTACTGTAACTTTTGATCAATTTAATGTATCTTTACTGAAAAAAAGGATTAAACAAATCTTACTAAACCCAAACTTTTAAATGGTATATAGAGTAAATTATTATCCCTCTCTATCATTTTCTGGAACTAGTTTCTCCATTGAACATCTGTGCCTTGCTTCCAGTTTTTCCCACCTGAGATCTTTCATCTTAGACAGCATATGAGGGCACAGTTTTTGTCCCTCAAACTAATACAAAACTGATCTTGTGAGGTCCAAGTGAGTGAGAAAACCGTTTTTTTTATCAACAATGATCAATTGACTCCTTTAGAGGAATGTAAATACAAGCTCTATTTACAGCATTTATGTCAATTATCACAGAAAATATTTTAGACTTTCTTTTAAAAAACACAAAAGTCATAGTTTTGACAGAATTGCTTGCTGACAATCTTTCAGTGACTGGTATGGCCTGTAAAAGCATTCACTTTCACATGATATGTGCATCTGAATGCATAACCAGAAGTTTATCTACCTGGAAAAGTATCTTCTGAGGTAATCACTATAATGGCACAAATGCTGTGGACAGCGCCTAAATGTATTCAAACCAGAATATTCCTTAAAGGAATCCTTTTTGAAATGTTGAACCGAATCTCTGTGTCTGTTGTATGCTGTTTGCCACCCTGATGGCCGTTTACTGGTTTTGTACATTGTCTGCCAGGACAAATTTGCTGAACATTTCCAAAGTCATCATCAAACTATAGGACTATACTGTTTTAGGTCAGTGATTTTATTCACTGTGAGGAAATTCTATTCTAAAAAGACAGAGTAAAGCAGGCCGTTAGTAGCCTTAATCACCAGTGATCACACAAATGAATCCTGTTTTCATTGGGTGTACCAATTTATTATTTTGATGTCAAATAAAACGATTGCATGTTAGAATCATTTGAATCAATGTTATAGTTCACAAACTGAGAGAAGGGCCAATATAGCAGTTTAGAGAAGTCATACCCCTCCCCCAGCTCACTGCCCACTCACTCTCAGTCGGACCCCACTTCCTACAGAACACTCCATCTGTCGGGCCCCTCTGTGTTACCAGAGAAGAGTAACAGACACACAGGCACCAGCAAACAAGTATATCATTATATCATACACACAACTTAGAACCTGGGCCAAACTAGCTTGGATTATATCCACGTAACAGTGATTTTAATATATTTAAAAGATAGTGTGCTGTTTTATGTTTAAATGGATATTAATTGAATCATCATGAAACGACTCACTACCAGCATAGTATGTCTTTATGCACTACTGTACAAAGCTAAAACAAGCACAAAGATGAAATACTGATTTTATGAATGTGAATGCAGAGGCTTGCGCCTCGGCTGTCTTAATTGCTCATATATTTCAATGCCACCTGAGTATTTGACCTTTTGCTTCTTCAATCACTCAGAATATTTTCAGGTCTTTTATTTTCTAGAAACCATGTGTTGAGCAGTGTTTTAATATTTTCTGCTTATTTATTGTCCTGTGGTTTTGGTTGAAATGTTTGGCACCGGCCCCTTGATCAAAAAAAAAGAACAATTTTTTTGGTTTAATTTTAATCCTGTTCTATAGTGAAATAGATGTGGTTTGAAAATTCAATTTCCCTCATTGCTTTCGTATTGTTCCACTGCTGTTGAATCCAAATAGAATGTAACATGACTAAGTTTACAATATTATGGCTTGTATAATTGGTATAAGCTTTAATTTTTAAATAAAAATACATTTCTGTTAATCAGGACCATGGGGTGACTGGATTTTGATTGACATTGAGACAAGGTGCATAGACATTGGATTACACACAAAAGCTGCAAAATCATAATCATAATTCTGAGCCTTCTGATACTGGTGAAAACCTTTTTGGTGTACAGTGGGGAAAATATGTATTTGATCCCCTGCTGAATTTGTAAGTTTGCCCACTTACAAAGTAGGTTTATTTTAACGTATAGAGAGAATACCAACCAAACAATCCAGAAAAAACACATTATCTAAAGGTTAGAAATTGATTTGCATTTCAGTGAGTGAAATAAGTATTTGATCCCCAAGCAAAACATGACTTAGTACATGGTGCAGAAACCCTTGTTGGCAAGCACAGAGGTAAGATATTTTTTGTAGTTGGTCACCAGGTTTGCACACATCTCAGGAGGGATTTTGGTCCACTCCTCTTTACAGAACCTCTCTAAATCCTTAAGGTTTCTTGGCTGTCGTTTGGCAACTCGAAGTTTCGGTTCCCTCCACAGATTTTCTATAGGATTGAGGTCTGGAGACTGGCTAGGCCACTCCATGACCTTAGTGTGCTTCTTCTTGAGCCACTCCTTTGTTGCCTTGGCGGTATGTTTCGGGTCATTGTCATGCTGGAAGACCCATCCATGACCTATTTTCAGTGTTCTGGCTGAGGGAAGGAGGTTCTTGTCCAAGATTTTACAGTACATGGCCCCGTCCATTTGCCCCTCAATGCGGAAGTCGTCCTGTACCCTTAACAGAAAAACAGCCCCAAAGCAATATGTTTCCACCTCCGTGCTTGACTGTAGGGATGGTGTTCTTGGGGTCATAGTCGGCATTTCTCTCCCCCCAAACACGGCGAGTCGAGTTTATGCCAAAGAGCTCAATTTTGGTCTCATCTGACCACAGCACTTTCTCCCAAGCCTTCTCTGAATCATTTAGATGTTCATTGGCAAACTTTAAACGGGCCTGTACATGTGCCTTCTTGAGCGTGGGGACCTTGCGGGTGCTGCAGGATTTCAGTCCATTGCGGCGTAGTGCGTTACCAATGGTTTGCTTGGTGACTGTGGTCCCAACTGCCTTAAGATCATTAAGTGTAGTTCGGGGCTGATCCCTCACCTTTCTCATGATCATCCTTACCCCATGAGGCAAGATCTTGCACGGAGCTCCAGACCGAGGCCGACTGATGGCTATTTTGTATTTCTTCCATTTCTGAATAATCGCACCAACAGTTGTCTCCTTCTCACCAAGCTTCTTGCTGATGGTCTTGTAGCCCATTCCAGCTTTGTGCAGATCTACAATCTTGTCTCTGACATCCTTTGACAGCTCTTTGGTCTTGTCCATGGTGGTGGGAGAGGGTGGAATGGAAGATACAGATTGTACAGGTGTCTTATACACCTAACTAGCTGACATTAGGAGTAACTTCTTAAAGTGGCAGGACTAATCTTTGTTCCACATGGGCACATAACCAGTCTGTGGGAGCCAGAATTCTTGCTGGTTGGTAGGGGATCAAATACTTATTTCACTCACTGAAATGCAAATCAATTTCTAACCTTTATATAATGTGTTTTTTTCTGGATATTTTGGTTGATATTCTGTCTCTATCCATTAAAATAAACCTACCATGAAAAATTAAATTTTTTTGTAAGTGGGCAAACTTACAAATTCAGCAGGGGATCAAATAAATATTTCCCCCACTGTATGTAGTGCTCAGTGTGAATGAGAGCATAAAATAAATAGTGAGCCGGGCAAAACTGTGTAACTACATAAAAGAAAATCATAATCTTTGTCTCGGAGGGGGAAATATTTTCACTCTTGAATGTAGTATTTTGCAAATAGTTCTCAATTCCCCTTGATTAAAATGACTCTGGTCAACTGTAAGTAATGATTTTATTTGCCACTGATAGTTATTGGCCAATTAGTTAATTAGTTAGAAATGTGCAGGGTAACACTGACCAGAGTGGTTAAAGGAAGTAAATATGATGTGACAGTGTATTCTGTAGAGCTACCAGGGAAGAGCTTCTTTCTGTATTAGCATCTTCCAACCAGCAGAAGGGGCTAGAGCCACAGTACAGACACAAACCATCAGTTCTGGCATAACCATCAGTATATAGCCCTGGGCTACAGATTTTATTGTTAATTTTTAATAAGTTTAATTTTTAAAATTAGCTTTGTTCATTGTGTCTGTTATAATGTGATAAAAATCTAAATCTTTTGGTTGTATCTGGTAACACATTCTGAGACTTCCGTCATCCCTGCCTTAAAACGGTATTTGTTTCACTTTATTAGCCTATAAGAGATTTATTTATTTGCCTCTACATCTTCATGAAAGTGTTGATTATCATAAATTGGAATGACAGTCACAAATTAAGTTGTTACTATAGAGTAGGCCTACTGTATAGTGGTACACCCTCATTACATTGGCAAGTGTTGATTACGCTGAATATGCACATAATGTCGGTGACACTGACAGATCTGAAAAAGTTAAGTGTATAAACAGGCACAATTTTCAAAGGCTTTTTTCATATTTTGTATTTTATGCAAGTAAATATGTTTAGTGAGTGTACATCTAGGTCTGGAAATATAAAATATATCCAAATCTAAATCAAATTAGGCTACACTGGTTTGAAATGTACCAATCAATAAGCTGTGATACAACCAGTGATAGAGAATGCATTGAATAGGACAATGGGATTGATCTAATCTACTTTATTTAGTTTTTAACAAATATGTCATATCATGTCTGTTTTCCAAAATTGTCTTAACATACTCAAATTTAGTATTTTTAATATTTAATTGACGCAGGAATGTTCATCTCACATATTTACAGAATCATGAAGTTTCAACAATATGCCTATTAGTTACATATGCCTACATATTATTTTTATTGCTGTTATTATTAATAATATCTTAAATTGATGCACAATGTTGAAGGCACATCCGTTTAGATGCCGCTAGGGGGCTCTAGTCGTCCTTATTAATATGACCATATGTAAATGTAATATGTACGGTGGGCTGCAGCCCAAATAAACGGAGGCGCATACACCAACAAAGCTGTTTGAGGTACAATGAAACATGTTTTGTTGGAGCTTAATATCTCGGAGTCTGGTACTGAAATAAATATGAGATGGGAGGAAAATTATATTTGATATTTATATATTTTCCTCCCATCCTATATTTCCATATGCTATTACCATATACACTTAAGGGCTCCTTACAATATTAAAGTCTATAGAGTTGTCTTATTAAGAAATGAACAATCTCGCGCTTCAATTTCAACACAAAACGTAACGGGTTTTAATTAAATATTGTCATAAAACTTTTGTTGAACTGTCCAGAAATGCTATGTTTCCAAAGCTATTAACTCAAGCACCGACTGCACATGCTTTGCGGAGTGAGGATGTTGGCAATTTAATGTCATAAGGGATGATATTATGTTTTTTCCCCCTTTGTACGTAAAAGTTACAATAAACATAATTCAAAATAGTGCTAATTGCGAACGCCTTGTTATCTAAAACAGACGTAAAGTTTGACTGTAAATGTTGATGCAAGTAAATATTCGTAAATCTAATACCAACATCAGAATGGTGTTTTTAAAATCATTTTATGTTAACAAATGGAAAAAAATACTCCCAAATCTCTTCTTTCTGTATTAGCATCTTCCAACCAGCAGAAGGGGCTAGAGCCACAGTACAGACACAAACCATCAGTTCTGGCATAACCATCAGTATATAGCCCTGGGCTACAGATTTTATTGTTAATTTTTAATAAGTTTAATTTTTAAAATTAGCTTTGTTCATTGTGTCTGTTATAATGTGATAAAAATCTAAATCTTTTGGTTGTATCTGGTAACACATTCTGAGACTTCCGTCATCCCTGCCTTAAAACGGTATTTGTTTCACTTTATTAGCCTATAAGAGATTTATTTATTTATTTATTTGCCTCTACATCTTCATGAAAGTGTTGATTATCATAAATTGGAATGACAGTCATAAATTAGGTTGTTACTATAGAGTAGGCCTACTGTATAGTGGTACACCCTCATTACATTGGCAAGTGTTGATTACGCTGAATATGCACATAATGTCGGTGACACTGACAGATCTGAAAAAGTTAAGTGTATAAACAGGCACAATTTTCAAAGGCTTTTTTCATATTTTGTATTTTATGCAAGTAAATATGTTTAGTGAGTGTACATCTAGGTCTGGAAATATAAAATATATCCAAATCTAAATCAAATTAGGCTACACTGGTTTGAAATGTACCAATCAATAAGCTGTGATACAACCAGTGATAGAGAATGCATTGAATAGGACAATGGGATTGATCTAATCTACTTTATTTAGTTTTTAACAAATATGTCATATCATGTCTGTTTTCCAAAATTGTCTTAACATACTCAAATTTAGTATTTTTAATATTTAATTGACGCAGGAATGTTCATCTCACATATTTACAGAATCATGAAGTTTCAACAATATGCCTATTAGTTACATATGCCTACATATTATTTTTATTGCTGTTATTATTAATAATATCTTAAATTGATGCACAATGTTGAAGGCACATCCGTTTAGATGCCGCTAGGGGGCTCTAGTCGTCCTTATTAATATGACCATATGTAAATGTAATATGTACGGTGGGCTGCAGCCCAAATAAACGGAGGCGCATACACCAACAAAGCTGTTTGAGGTACAATGAAACATGTTTTGTTGGAGCTTAATATCTCGGAGTCTGGTACTGAAATAAATATGAGATGGGAGGAAAATTATATTTGATATTTATATATTTTCCTCCCATCCTATATTTCCATATGCTATTACCATATACACTTAAGGGCTCCTTACAATATTAAAGTCTATAGAGTTGTCTTATTAAGAAATGAACAATCTCGCGCTTCAATTTCAACACAAAACGTAACGGGTTTTAATTAAATATTGTCATAAAACTTTTGTTGAACTGTCCAGAAATGCTATGTTTCCAAAGCTATTAACTCAAGCACCGACTGCACATGCTTTGCGGAGTGAGGATGTTGGCAATTTAATGTCATAAGGGATGATATTATGTTTTTTCCCCCTTTGTACGTAAAAGTTACAATAAACATAATTCAAAATAGTGCTAATTGCGAACGCCTTGTTATCTAAAACAGACGTAAAGTTTGACTGTAAATGTTGATGCAAGTAAATATTCGTAAATCTAATACCAACATCAGAATGGTGTTTTTAAAATCATTTTATGTTAACAAATGGAAAAAAATACTCCCAAATCTAGCAATCTTTGCTGTATGTAATAAACAATCTAATTATGTTCCTTTCAAATTATGCCCAAAGCGAGCCTACACACTGCATCGCAGAAGATTTCAACTGACTGTATTCAGCTCGGTCGTTCTGAATGATGCAAGCGCTCGCGGAGGGATATCAGCCATGGAGACACATTTTGTCATCTGTCTTGTTGCCTGGCGATAAATAAAATGGAGTCGGAAATCGCCTTTAAAGTCTTTCCCTCTGTCAGCCATGTTGGCTCAAACCGAACTGTCATAATGATGTCTAGAGAGTAGAGACATATGATGCGAGCCCACCTTGATCCAAAATGTCTGCAGCGGCGTGAGTTAAGGACGTAACAGACTTTAGCCCGCGCCTGATATCTGTGACGCGGTTGCGGCGGAGCGTCAGAGCTCGAGCTCGGAGCGCCAGCGGCGGGAGAGAAGTCGTCGCTTCTCCTGCTGCTATTTAACCACACTGCGTAGGGTTGCAGCAGGTAAGATTATTTTATCATGTTAAACTGCATTTCGATATGTTGCGCGTTATACTTGTTAGTTATGCTCCCCAGGTCTGATCTGAATTGAAAGCTAATGTTTTAGGCCGTCTTGTCAAGTATTACAAACGCCTGTAGCCAAGGCAAATCAGCCGCGCCTCCTCCCCGGTTTAGCTACAACGGTGCACTAGCATAGCTTAGCGCTACCTCGTACTGTTTGGATCATTAACGCCCATCTTTCTGTTTAGACGTGCTTGCTTTTGAATTTATTGCACGAAGCACGCGTATGGACCGTTTTATAGCGGTTGTTGAGACGCAAAAATATTTACGTTGCTTGTAGTTTACGAGGAAGTGATAAACCGGGACTAGCGTTTCACTCTGTGGCGTAAAATGGTGTCCGAGTTAGCCAGGCAACGACACTGTTTGAGCGGTCATCTGCTTACATTTCTACTGCGTCAGTGTGGCACTGTAGACGACAATAATGTTTATTGTGCGCACTGAGTAAAGCTAAATCCTGCGTTTCATAACATGAAAAGTAGGTTTACTACGCATTGTAGGGGAATCGCTTCACACGAATCATTCTGAAACTTTTCAGGCTGGATATGGAGCAGAGCGGCAGCTCTACTTTGCGCATAATTATTATATTTTGCACTTTTCTCAGTATAGTTGAGCCGAACAACATGAATGTTAGCTGAATCATGCTGAGTAAGGGGAAAGTGGTTTGTGGTTCGTCTGCTGCGCTCATTTAGAGTGGCCTGTGGAGAGCAATCTTTATTGAAACAAACTGTCTTTATTATTCATCCTTTCATTATTTTGTCGTGCAGCGTAATATAATGATAGAAAGTTACAATGTTCGTGACTTGAGTAAACGGGGTTCTGGTCGCTGGCTTGTGTCAGGTGATAGTTAGCTCGTAGCTAGTCAGCTGGCCTGTCATTCCGCCCTTCTCCTGTCATTGGCAAACAATGCGAGCTATTTTGATGATGTTAACATTTTTTTAAGCAGACCTATTGAGACATCGGTGGCGGTGTCGCCTTCAGGTGGTCGTTTAGTTCAGAACTGCACCTTATTGTAAGGCTTGTATTCTAACGTGATTAACTTAAGCCATGTGAAGGGGCAAACGTCAAGGGCGTAGTATTTCTGTTTTTCCTATACTAGTGTTTCCTACGCAAGTTTACAATAAGTTACGAATGCAAATGAAAGAAAAGTGCATGATCTGAATTAGTTATGCAGAATATGTTGATGTGCAATCTTGTCGAGCTTTTAAACCGTTTTAAAGAGCTACTGCTGCGCCCATTTTAGCGGATTTTGAGAGAAGTCATTGAGAGAAATAGCACGGCCTTGATGAGAGCTGAATTAATGTATGTTTCTGGTCAGTGACAGTAAATGAAAGCACTCACTGTAATATGACGAGGAGTGACGACAGAAGATGGGCGTGGCGGACTTCTGCTGGACCTACAGTATGAACAGTTTTCAGTTTCAGCTTTTGAATGGAAACAAATGTCTTGTCTACTCCAACAGGACAAACTGCTTATGTCAGACAGGGTGAAAGGGTTTCTAAGATTTCCTGTTTCTTTTTATAATGTTCAGCAGTAACATATCCAAGCTTGATTTTCTGCATTTGAAAAAAAAAAAAAAAAAAGGAAATGCTCTACTGTAAATGCGCATAGATAATTATGGGACTTGGGATTTTCATAGGCATGTAGTATTTTCCTTATTCATCGAAAGCTGCCCTTAGAAAACATGCATCTGTGTGCACCTACTAACCGTTTATAAGTTATAAACATTGTTTAACATTGATTTGTAAGGCATATTAGCATTTGATCATTGTCACGAAACGCTCACTGTACAGTGTCGTGACATGTTAGGACCTGTTTCTTTGAAATTATCTTTGAAACTCATGCATTGTCTTGCATAACAAGAACTGCAGAAACAAGTCATAATTATGGTAGCATTCCAGGCATGCTCATACCTTGGTTAATGTCAAAAGGGGTTTATCTAGGAATTGTCATCGTCTTATGCTTATGTTAGTTCTTTAGTTGAACACAAAAAAAAGATATAAAATATAGAGGTGTTGCCATGAGAGCTTGTTACTTCCGTCTTACAGTTTCCTCTTTCTGGTCTCATTAAAAATCATTGGTAAATCTTCACCGTAAATGCATAAAAGAACTGTTGTAATGTTGGCGTTAATTGTGAGCTCAGGTTCAGTGTGCTTTTGTCGTGCTGTCCCCTTCGAGGACATATTTTCTATAGGAAATGCTTTGTTTATTGTATGGAACATTAAGTTTGTTTTTGAAGACATGAATCAGAAGACAAACATATTCAGGAACAGAAGGATAAAATGAGATTCACACACGATGATTAACAAACAGAACTCTCCTCGGTGTTCATTTGTAGAATCACGTGCATTTATTTGTGGACCACTTCTTGTGATTTGAACCCTTTAGGTGTGACTGTGTTCATAATATAACAGCCTCTCATACCTTTCTGCTTAATTGTAACTGGTTTTGATTCCAACTGCATTGAATTGTGCATGCTATTCATACCAAACCATATTAAGCCTCACCTTAAAAACAATGCTGACTAATCCTCAAACATTGTTGCTGGAGCACTTGTAGTAGTTATACAAGGTGCCAGGAGCTGGAATACAAACTTACTTTTGTTTTCCTTTTCCAAAACCAAATCTTGTGTGTGCAACAGATTGTTACTTGTCGGACCTAGATGATTTGACAAATGAGCTTAAACATCAGTAAGGACACAGTTGTTGCAAGGTAAATTTAATCATGTTTGATAATTAGTGTACATACTGGTTAGGTCATAGTAGTGTTTTACTGACTTTTATTTTTATTAGCAAACCTCTCAGGGGTTTTTTTTCCCTCCTGATTTCATGTTTTGGATGTAGCCTTCAGTGGCATACAGGACACTTTTGGTGAAAGTTACTAGAATGAAATGTTATTATACAACGCTTGCACGTATTGTAAGTTGTAGCATATGCCTACACTCTAAAAAATGCTGGGTAAAATAGGGACAAACCCAGCAATGGGTTGTTTTGACTCAGCGGTTGGGTTAAACGTTTAACCCAACCTTCTTGGTAGTAACCCAACCGCTGGGTCAAAACATCCCAATTGCTGGGTTTGTCCCCATTTTACCCAGCACTGGGTTGTATTTAACTCAGCATTTTTTAGGGTGTTATTATTATTATTATTATTATATGATTCCTAACACAGGGTGTTACTACTAAAATCAGAGTCATGGAATTATAGACGTAAATCATAGTTACAGAATGAGGCAAACTTTGCTATGAATGTTTTTTTTTCTGTCTTGTATCTCATTTTATTCATCAGTGGAGGTGTTCAACATGCTCAGCTCCAGCATGTACTAGAAATGCCAGCATTAAAGTCATTACAGTTTTGCAGTAATTCAATAATAAAAACTTTTAGTTTTTTAACATTTTTGTTAACAAGTTTAACCAGTCAACCAGTTTAACTGTTTAAAAAAAAATCACTTTTTTTCTTTAAATGTCTCAATATCCACACGCATTACTTATGTATTTTGTTTTTAATTATTTGTATTTTCTTTCATTCTTTGGTACACTTAATTTCAGTGTACTTTCATAAACCAGATTAGGCCTGCCTTTAGCTTTAGTTTGAAAGCACTTTAAAATGCTTTGCATTTCAGACCACAAATTATTTCAAGGTCTTGTCTTCATCAGTTGTGTGGTCTAAATTGGTTTGTGGGGTTTTGAGCCAGTTGCCAGCTGAAGTGCCAACCAATCCTTGGTTTGCAGTGATGATTGTTAAAGGTCTTTCCTAAAAGGATATCTTTAAAGATTATGGATTATCAAGACTTTCAGTTGCAGTTGCTCTAGGGCAAAAACAGTATTAAAAACTAAATGCTTGTTGTTGTTGTTTTTTTCCCCCTCTCTCAGGTTGAGCCTGGAACCAGCTGTCCTCCAAGATGAACCCTTATGAATGAGAGTGAGCCTGTTCAGTAAGCTGTTAGCGTCCAGTGGTCAAAGCCATGCCTGAAGATTAGAGCCTCCTCTTGCTTACAGCAATACAAATATATAGAAGATTCTACATGACTCTTCATGTAGACCTTCCTGTGTTTGTCTTGCTGGATTGAGTCCTTCCTCCCCTACTATAATATCAGCTCTGTCCCTTTCATACCGCTCCCTCTTGCACTTTCATGGCCGCTTGGAAACATGCATCTGCATTTGAGAATGGCTCCAACTTAGTCTCATGCGTCCAATGAGTGGAGAGTCTGACGGCCCTGCTCCTGAAAGAGTCTCGCGGGCCCTGTCAGGCCCTGCGTCCTCCTCAGAGATGTCCTCACTGCACTCACTAGGGCCAGTGCAGAGCTGGCTGGGTCAGGAGCTGGAGAAATGTGGCATAGATGCCATGATCTACACCCGCTATGTCCTTAGCCTGCTACTGCACGACAGCTATGACTATGACCTACAGGACCAGGTATAGTTAAAATGTTTCAGCACATCTGGAAAACCTTTTGTGTTTTAAGTGACTTGTTTCTGTACAAATCTAACAAAACATCTTAAAAAGGATTTCACCACCCAAAACTTTAAGTGTTCTATGTCATAAGTCATACGATACATTTGTTTTTAATGTAAACCAACTTTAGTGATTCTTAAAGAAAAAAAGTGTCTTGCATGTTAGGTTCGATCAATTAAAACATAAAGCATTTAGGTAATATATTTTGTGTTTAGTAGTAATTCAGGTCTCTCAGTATTCATTTTATTGCATTCAGTAGTAACTAACATTTATTTTGATACTCAGCAATTATTCACTACATCTTATTTTATCAGATGTGAATCCACCAACTTCTGTGGAATAAGGCTATGAAAATATAGTTCTTTATCTGTGTAGATTATGGTATTCTTGTTTAGGGAATGGTAGACTAAAGCAACTTTAGAGATGGTAGACTAAAGCAACAGGTTTCAAGTAGTGTTCTTTTATCTTCTTCAGAGTAGGTTATGTGGCAGTAATTGCATCTTAGCAGACATTTGTGCATAGTTTCTGTACATTTATACTAAAGAATCAACACCTGGTCCTCCTTGTGTGCAGGAAAATGACATCTTCCTGGGCTGGGAGAAGGGAACAGGGAAGAAATGGGGGAAGAGCAAGAGGAAGGGAGGGATTGACCTTAGTCTTGAAGAGATGAAGAAACAAGCTGCTGTGCAATGTTTGCGTTCAGCATCTGATGAAGTAAGACCTTGTCTAAAGCTAAAGTTTTTAAATCAGTGTGTTATATAATTTATTTATTTTTTCCCCCACAACCATTTTCACTGCTAAATTGCAATTAGTGTACTTTTGTGAGTGAGTTTGTTGTGGAATTAGTAGAGCAAAAATTGGTTAAATGGTCAAGAATAGGGATGGGTACCGAAACCCGGTATTTAATCAGTCCCGGGGCTAAATTATGAAAGACTGGAGTATCGATAAGCTCTGACGTTAACGGTTCTGCTATTGGTACTGGAAAAATTAAGAAAACACACATTTATTTTTGCTATATATACATTATCTTGCTAATTCTATCTCACTAGAGTCGCCAGCTGTTTTTCAAACATTTGTCTATGATGCATTTTTGCTATTCGCAATTCAGAAGTGAGATCGCGCTCATGCGGAGGATCTTCAGCATGCGCAACATGAAAGCCCTGTTTAATTATGATAGAAGAGAGAACTAAACATTCAAACGTCTGCTTACACTTTAGGCCTGTGGCTGTTTTATTAAGCTAATACACATTTTTTTATTTCGATTTTGGCTTTTAAAGATTATAGCCGCATTTCTTCTAGCGCAACTTTTTCCCTTCACAGCGGTGCGCATTCGTTCCTCCCTAAAACCCAAACTTAAAGTCAGAATCAGCACAATCCGTGATTGTTGAAAAAAGGTCGTCTTACACTGTTGCTAAATTGCGGGACATGTTTGATAATAAAATTTTGAAAGCACAATCCGCACAAGAGACGCTGTTCCCCATGCTGAAATGTGTGCATGCGACGCGTTCCAAAACGGACAAGCTAATTACACTTTGAGCTTCGGGCTTCGAGTTAATCAAACAACAAAATGCAAAGACAAAATCACTCACAGCTCTTAATCTGAATTACATAGCTTTAATAAGCATTAATCTATCAATACATACAGTGAAAACTGTAATTACTTAATTTACTTGTAATACTTAATTACTTGTAATTACTTGCCTGAACAGTAATGTTAGTAGACCTTCATGGAAAAATGAAAGCACTGTTTATTTGATTTCATTTGTAAATTTGTTCTTGTTTCATGTATTTGTCAGTTTTTCACTTTGTTTCTTTGTTCATGTTCTTACTGTATCTTATCTTATATACAGTATAAAACACTAAAAATGCCTGCACACTGGTGCATTTACAAATTGATGTTTTATATTCATTTTAGGGCTGTGCGATTTGGGGGAAAATATCAAATTTGCAATTTTCTTTTTTTGACGGATATTGCGATTGCGATTTGATTTGCGATTTTAAATGAGCAAAGTCAAGCTTCAGCTCAATATTGCCAATAATGTGCAGCACAGTATGGGTATCATTACCCTGCTGAAAAAAATGATAGAATCTATCACAGAAATTCGTATAGTTTCCATTAAACCATTACAAAATTCCTTTTTGTTTTGGGCATTATTCCAATAGGAATTACTGTTGTTCTATTGGTTGCCATCTGCCAGATTACATCCCACCAATAGAATCCATCAAATAGACACCATTATAGTTTACATTAAAACCAATACAATTCCCATTATAACCCTGAAATCCATTACATTTTTTATTGTGTTTTGGGAGGGGTTCTATTGTTGTTGTTTTTCAGCAGGCAAGATTATGATGGTATAACTACTTTTACAGAATTAACTTAATTACTGAATTTCACAGAAAATATTTGTTTATTTTTTATAAATAAAGAACTGTGTTTCTTAAGTCAATTATTAAAGTATTACTTATGTTACATAGGCTGATTTATTCATTTTAAGTATTTGGGATTTTAAGAACAAGTGGAAAATGTGCTGAATGTCTCATTTCATCCAAGTGAAATTAGCATGCAGTTAGACTGAGTAGGCGCGAGTAGACACGGGTTGCGTGCGTGAGTCACGCCTCCTCCATACTACCAGATGCGCTCGTGGAGACTTGCGGTGCGGAGCCGGGTGCGAGTATAAACGAGTCCATATCTCAGGTTTTGCGATTTAGGAAATCACAACGTTTAAATCGCGATTTCGATTAATCGCACAGCCCTAATTCATTTCATTAAATATTTATCTTACATTTCAGAATATAAAGCAATGTTAATTCAGCTCTTAATTTTTATGGAGAGGAGAGGCTTCTGTCGGGCCACTCTGCCATAAAGCCCCGACTGGTGGAGGGCTGCAGTGATGGTTGACTTTTCTACAACTTTCTCCCATCTCCCGACTGCATCTCTGGAGCTCAGCCACAGTGATCTTTGGATTCTTCTTTACCTCTCTCACCAAGGCTCTTCTCCCCCGATAGCTCAGTTTGGCAGGACGGCCAGCTCTAGGAAGGGTTCTGGTCGTCCCAAACGTCTTCCATTTAAGGATTATGGAGGCCACTGTGCTCTTAGGAACCTTAAGTGCAGTAGAAAGCTTTTTGTAACCTTGGCCAGATCTGTGTCTTGCCACAATTCTGTCTCTGAGCTCTTCAGGCAGTTCCTTTGACCTCATGATTCTCATTTGCTCTGACATGCACTGTGAGCTGTAAGGTCTTATATAGACAGGTGTGTGGCTTTCCTAATCAAGTCCAATCAGTATAATCAAACACAGCTGGACTCAAATGAAGGTGTAGAACCATCTCAAGGATGATCAGAAGAAATGGACAGCACCTGAGTTAAATATGAGTGTCACAGCAAAGGGTCTGAATACTTAGGACCATGTGATATTTCAGTTTTTCTTTTTTAATAAATCTGCAAAAATGTCAACAATTCTGTCTTTTTCTGTCAATATGGGGTGCTGTGTGTACATTGAGGAAAAAAAATTAACTTAAATGATTTTAGCAAATGGCTGCAATATAACAAAGAGTGAAAAATGTAAGGGGGTCTAAATACTTTCCGTACCCACTGTATGTTTATATATATATGTGTATAACAAAAAGTACCGATAAGAATACCGTTACAGTACCGAATCGATAAGCAGTATCGGTAAGAGTAGTAATACCGTTAAAACCTTAACGATACCCATCCCTAGTCAAGAATATCTCTCCTCATTAAGACAAATGTCAATCAGAACTTGAGTAATGTGGCTGCATCTCAGATTTTTTTGTGAAAATCATTAATGTGCTTTGCTTTTGCCTCAAAGCCTTTTACAGTGATTATGCTTATTTCTGTCAAAAAAGAAATCACCAGAACTAGTTCAGATGTACTCGGCAAAATAGATATTATTCAGTTGATGTTTAATATGGTTACTCTTTTAATCTTGTGTATATTTGGTGCTTTTTAATCAAAGGGAGTTCAAATTTCATATTTAATACCAAGTTTTTGAAGAAATCAATTCATTCTTGTTGCAGCGATGGGGCTATGATTCTATTTTCTGTTAAATTTTCACCCAAAATTGCAAGTTAAATTACTTCTGTTCTCTTTCAGAATTCTGGAATTGAAAGCTTGGTCGAAGAGCTATGCTCTAAGCTCAAGGATATTCAAAACAAACAGAAAGGTTTGCATATTTTCTATGTAATGCAGGTTGAGCAAAAATTGTATTGTCTTGCAGCTGTAATTAGTTTTATGGAATACTTCAATTATATTGCTTTGCTATTATTGTCTTACAGAAAAAGAAAAGCAAGTAATTAAAAAATCTGATATATCTCAGTCTCCTGAACCAGATGAATCATTTTCTTCTAAGGACCAGGTTGAGATGTAAGTAATTGCACCTTATAGTCTTTAATGTAATAATGTGGATTGTTGTACAGGTAGGGTTATGATCTCTGTAATTAATTAGAGCAATGAGCCTCGTATTTTAATGTGGCTTTTACTAAACTGGAGACGCCTATGATTAAATAAATGGTCGTGCTGCATGCCGCAAAGTAAATGGGCAGTGTTTTGTTTTGAGAGTCTAGTGAGTGTTCTTGCTAGGGCTGGGCGATACAGCAAAAAATATTATCACAATATTTTTTTCCATATCATAAAAGATTGATATTTAATTTATCCCATTATTGTTCATTTACCATTAATGAGAAAGGAAGTGCTTTCCACACGTTTTTAAATCTTGAAAATGAATGTTAACATAACTTGATTGTTTAATACAAAAATGGTGTCAAATGGAATGACTTAATAAAACTTTTAAAATGTAATCAATCTTTTGAAATATAACAATTAGTTTACAACAAAACATCACATTTTAATTTTTTTGTCAAATAAAATGCTACACAACCTTAGATGCTTATCTCTTATCTTCATCTCAGAGCATCTCTGGAGATGAAGTTCATATGTTTATGTATACGCAGATGCTGAAAACACTGATTTCATTATGATATTATCATCCAGCCATAGTTCTTGCCTAACATAATAAACCGAGATGAGAAAAAAAATGCAACAATTTTTGTGCTTATTTGGGTGCAGCAAAAATATAATAGCAAATTATATTATCCCAAATAGCAACTTGAAGATGACCTTATGCTGTATTTGCTAGGGGTGCTCCGATCTGGATTTTTGAGACCGATCACAGAAAGCAGTATCTGCCGATACGATCACCGATACCGATCTTTTTAAAGCCTTCTTTTTATCATGTAGAATTATTTATAGTGATGATCTATACAAGATTTTTAGACATTTATTCAGGGCCTGAATTTCATTTTTGAAAATGAATTCCCCTCTTAGGTGACTCTTATGAGAGGGGATTTTTTAATTTGAGGGGTGGAGGGGGGCCTTTTTTAGATATTTTTCAAATTATATATTTCTCACTTAAATGTTTGATCATGCACTGTATTTTTGTTTTGACAATCGTGCAGTTGTTACACAATAGCTTACACACAGCACAAGCCTAATTTCGTGAGCTGTATGTGAGGCGGCCTTTTACTCCAGGTTCACACATACTCTGTTTGCAGTGCATATGCAGTCCATGTGCGGTACCTAAGTGGTGCAGAAGCAGCACGGACTCTCGTGCTTTCACACAGGAGTCTGCAACTGATACGTGGCTGTTTACTATAAACACAACATTTATCTATTATTTTTTTCAAATCCAAACATTGTTACTTAAAATGTTTTTTTTGTTTTTTATTGCTTTTTCAGCATCGTGATTATTTTTTTACACCGTATAGTATAATACAATCTTTCATAGATGTGTTTAAAATAAATAAATATAAGAAACACATTATTCAATGCTTTTTACTTTTGCATTTACTTCTATATTTATATATTAAGTTGCTCAAGCAAGTGGCAAAACATTTTAAAGGGGTCATGTGATGTTGTTAAAAATAACATTATTTGGTGTAATGAAATGTGTTTAAGTGGGTTTAAGGTTCAAAAACACATTATTTTATGCCCCTTACCATATTGTGATGCCCTGTCCGGCCGGAGCAACGAGACAAAAACATTAAAACCCATTATAAACGAGGCATTTGTTGCATCCAGTGGGGACATAATTACTGATTATAATGACTTATACTGTCTTTTTACGCGTTGTGTTGCATCGCACCGCATAAACATAAAACCATGTCTGCATTTGTGATCGGAGAAATGACAAACAACAAGTGCTACTCTACACTGCTCAAAACTCGCGTTTGAATAGTCCGTGTCAAATTCTTTAAATATAAAAAAAACTTACTTACAGTCTGTGAGTCAGAACAGCCGGCATTGTAGTCTACTCTCCCAGGATCAGGAAACAGTCCTCCATAAAATGCTCTGGACACATCTGAATATTTGGGTTGAACTGTTCTGGAACAGTGTTGTAAATATAACTTAACCACTGATTTCTAGTCGTATCCTCTTTTGGAAGGCCAAACAAAGTAGTTTCACTTTCACAACTAAACACACGGCAGGCTAGAGTGAGCGGTGGCGGGCGGCTAGAGTGAGGAACGGTCGGCGGGCTTGAGAACGGCGTGGCCGTCGGATTCGACGAAGAAGCGTCTGGCGGGCTTGCGGCAACCACATGTGATGACCCCGGGCTGGACTCCGCTTCGTCCATGGTGAAAGCCGATCCGGCGATCCACAGCGCGAAGTTGATGTATTTCCTCAGCGACCAGCACAGATCAGCTCTAGGCATGATGAAGCAGATATCGTCCTCTTTTGGAAGGCCAAACAAAGTAGTTTCGCTTTCACAACGAGAAACAGCACCTTCACGACATGGTGGCGGTGGCAACAACAATACTACAGCACCTTTCTTTACGCCTTCCTTCTGTGTGAACATTTGGCGGCGTTATGCATATCTTCCCATATCGTGACATAGACATGTGGGGGCGTGTTAGAACGAGCAGTTTTAGGTAGGCGTGGTCGACTCTTAACTTTTATAAAGAATATCTCTTTGGATTTGAGACTTTAGTCTTTGCAACTTTACAGATCTTCTTGATGCACCGAGAGCTTGTAACACTCCAAAGAGAAAGGAAAAATTTAAATTGCATCATATGACCCCTTTAAACTACTTCATTATCACAAACATTCTAAATTAAAACTTACCACTGACATAAACTGTCAGCTCTACTGCATTTTCTTTTGCATTTAAATCTTTATTACAAGCAATCCTGAGGTTCATAAAGAACTTTGTTTTCCTACCTCCACAAATGCCATCTATTATTGCCTTGTTTATCTAAAAGTGCTCTTTTCCTTTAAACCTAGCCAAAAAGCCATAGCCTGTGTGTTGATTGTGAAACACAGTAGATTTTAATTGTATGCATTCATGGTGTAATTAATTACTACATTTTCGTGTCAATCCATGTTCATATTTACCGCAAACAATGCGCTGTTACTTTAATTCCATAAAGCCATTTGCGCATTTTGAGAGGGAAAGAGAGAGCTTGCGGTGATTCACTCACGCCGTTTGTGAAATTGTCTCACAGAAAGTTTTCAAATTACTTTATAAGTTATTTAATGAAGAAATATGAATTGTACCTCACCTTCAGCATTATAATTGTTTCACCCGCGCCGGACCGAGACTGAGATGGTGCCGCTGCATGTCGCGTCAAACCTCTTACGGCAGGCGCGTCATCAGCTTGAGATCGGCCTTTATAGAGACCGCCAATCAAAAATCCCCAAGCGGTTATCGGCTGATAGTGATCGGTAGCCGATTAATCGGAGCACCCCTAGTATTTGCTCTTAATTATCTTCATATTATTATTTACACTATTATTTTTATTATTATTATTACTATAATTTTTATTGTTGTTATTCTTATTATAATGCAGTTGTTTTTGCTCCTTAGGTACTATGAAGCTTTCCCACCTCTCTCAGAAAACTCTGTTTGTCTCCAAGAAATTATGACTGTGTGGAACAAAGCTAAAGCCTGCACATATTCCAGCTCATCATCATCTGCTGTCCCTCAAACAAGCACAGACACATCCTCTCCAAAAGACTGCACCAGCGAAGGTGAAGCTTTTATTAAAGACCGAACAGTTGATGCACCCAGTTCCACCACCACAATCAGCGAGAGGGCCCAGCAGCGACGCACTAAGAGGGAGAAGGAAAACCGATTCCATGGAAGCGCAACAGGGGCGACTGACGATCAGGTTCCTCCTCATAGTAAGCGGCAGGCGAGACACCGATCTGAGGGGAGGTTCCGTCCCAGGTCGTGGTCCTCTGGCTCTAGTGAGGCTGGCTCAAGCTCCAGTGGTAACCAGGGTGACCAGACCCCTAGTTGCAAAGCAGTCCGCATAAGACACAAGTCTCGAGAGGTCAGCAGCAGAAACAAAAGAGCCCGCAGTGGCGGCGGACAGGTCAAACTGGCCCTTAAAGTCATCGACAAAGAAGAGCGGAAAAATGCACGAGGCAACATCAGTACCACTGGAGGCCCATCTAAGCAGCACTACATGAAAAAAGGCAAACGACCTCTGAGGGAGATCCGCAAAGATGCTAATCTGGTTGAGACACAGGAGTCAGGAGGAGAGGCCAAAAGAAAGGAATATATGGAGGAGCCACTTTGGTACACAGAGCCCATCTCGGAGTACTTTGTCCCTCTCAGTAGAAGTAAATTGGAGACAAAGTATCGGAGTAAAGAAGACTCTTCCAATGACTTAGCTATGTCCATTGATGTGGACTGTCTGTCGGAGAGAATTCAAGGAATCTGCATTGCAAATTCTTGTTTTCAAAGGGCATACCTTGCAGCAGGCACTTTTGTGGATGGCCACTTCATTGAAGTGCCTAGCGAAGGTGACGAAGAGGCTCCTGAACTGAATGGGATTCCAAGCTGCCCTCTTCCTGAAGATGGTCCAAATTTAGATGACGAGCATCTGTCTGAATTCACTCACTTCTATGAAGTTGATCTTTATCAATCCATATTGGATCCTAGTGCCTCAGATGCGGTACAAGAAAGCCGAATCCTGAACATGATTCGGCAGAAGAGCATTGAGCGAAAACACTTTGAAGCAGGATGTGTCGTTTTAGATGGCCTTGAGCTGCAAGGGGAAAGTGCAATAAGGGTTGATTCTCTGGGAGCCTCAGAAGCAGATGTTTCTATAACACAAGATATGGAAAATATTGCCCAAGTCTGGGAGTGCTGTTCATCTTCGAGCTTGGAAGATTTGGAAGGAGAAAGCTGTCCGGGTGACTCTCCAGTCAGGCTCTCCCCAGTGTTGGACAGTGTTCCGTTTAACTTTAGCAAACTGTCTGGAGCTTTTGTAGGGCCTCATCTCCAAGAAGCCAGCAGTAGCATCTCTGCCCTAAACTCCTGTTTTCCTCTTTTTGAGTTGCAGTACGATAGCCCTTCCTTTTCTTTTTCCTGCGACTCGCTCACGGAGGGACAGGACAATGTAGATTCAAGTAGCTGTTTAGATCCACAAGGAAACAAACAATCCCGTTTGCTAATTTGGACCAAAAACAGTGCCTTTGATGAAACAGAACACTGCTCTAACTTATCAACGAGGACCTGCAGTCCCTGGTCCCACTCAGAGGAGACCCGGTCAGATAGTGAACAGATCAATGCTCCAGCGGATGAATCTGCTCAGTTTGGCAGTGAAGAGGTCAGCTGTATCTCCCTTATCCCACCTTTATGCCTAGAAGAAGAGCTTTTAGATTTCTTTCAAGAGAACTCCAGTCACCAGCAGGAAGAAACGAGTGTAGGCACAGAGTCCAGCCAGCCCTTCAATAAGAAATCGAAATTGGAGTCTGTTTGTGGCATAGCATTAGAGCAGGATGAGAGTAAACTCTATAATGCTGTTGTGTTTTCAGATGTCCTAAATAAACAAAGTGATGATTACACCTCAGGGATAATAAAAGACATTTGGATGGCTATTGGAGACAGAGACTGTGTCTTAACACTCGGGGTAAAGAATACAGGGGAGCACTTGTTTCCAGAGGAGGCTACCGGCTACCAATGCAGCTGTCATGACAAGGATGTAAAAGGTGAAATTATTCAAAAGAAAGCTGTGCAGTGTTCCGAGTATCATCTTTGGGATGGGCAGAAGGAGAACGAGGGACTTCATAAAAACAAGCTCTCTAAAATGAATGATGGGGATTACACGACGCCGGCCAAGCCCTGGAATTGTAATTCACAGGACAGCACCTCCTTTATCCTCGGTGGGGTTTATGGAGAACTGAAGAGTCTAAGCGGCGACAGAGAATGGGCTATGATTCCACCTGGTGATGCTTGTGGCAGTTTGTTGCAGTGTGCAGCAGCCACATCTTCTGACATGGTAACCATTGCAGGGGCGGATGTGTTCATGAACACAAGCAGTTGCTTTGCTCCTGGCCACAAGCCATTGTGGAGACCTCTTGTGTCCCTTGGTCAAAATGAGCAGGCTACCAAGGGACCAGGGGATGGTTTAAATAAGGGATTTTCTGTTGTCTTCCATGAAGATTTACTGGGATCATGCGGAGGTTTCCGTGGAGAAGAGTCAGGACTGGATTATCCGTTTTCATCCTTTGATTTGAACAACCCTTTTTCCCAGGTCCTGCATGTGGAGTGCTCCTTTGAGCCAGAGGATATGGCCTCTTTCAGCCCGGGATTCAAGCCAAAATCCATATTATGCTCCGACAATGAGCCCTTTTGCCCTTGGTTATATGGCATCAAACGGACTCAGTATCGGGCCATTCGAATTTCCCCAAGCACTCATTTCCGGCCAATATCTGCCTCTGAACTTTCTCCAGGTGGTTGCAGTGAGTCAGATGTAGAGTCTGAGAAAGAGGAAGCGAGTCTTCCAGTTGGTCAAGCAGACCTCTTTGATGACCCACAGGCTGACCTCAAGCCTCTCGAGGAGGACGCAGAGTGCGAGGGCCCTTACTACGGAAAATCGGAGCTGGAGTCTGGAAAGTTCCTACCCAGATTAAAGAAGTCTGGCATGGAGAAGAGTGCACAGACGTCGCTCGATTCACAGGAGGGTGGGAGCACCCTTCTGCCGATTACTGAACAAGAGATTTGCATACATTGTGAGACGGCAGTGGTTTCGGTGCCATGTTCTCATGTGCAGTCCTCTGTTCTTCAGCAAGAGGAATCTAGCAGGGAGACAGAGTCTTGCAAATGCGCTGCAACTGATCAGATTCCAAAAAGTGAGAAGTTGCTTGATGTTGCTCAAGATATGCATGAGGTAAGTGACTGCAGAGCCAGTCTTTTCTCTAACTGTTATCTAACCTTCAGAGAAACGCATATAGAAAATTGTACTATATATTAGCATGTTTTTATTGGTTGATACTGACGTTGCTGTCACCTGCACTTGAATGCACTGAATTCATATATGCCATGACAGTACTTGATATTCTTTAATGATCTACCTTTTACCTTTCAAAAGTAAAAAAAAAAAAAATGCTCTCATTGATTGACTTTCTTTGTCTCTTAAACAGTTTCCACTGTTGAATTTTGGAGAACAGTGCTTAACTAATATGCAGCAAGAAGAGTGCTGGTGGCAAAGTACTCTGTGTTCCCCTTTATTTCCAAGTTCTCAGTGCGGAGGTAAGAAGAGTACAATATTTAGCCGTATTAGATACTAGGGAAGTCAGTTGTACACTGTTTTGATAAACCCATTGATCCATCAATAGGGAATAATCATGATTAATCTTACTGTCAAATTATAGACACTACATTGATTGGAAAAGGGAGTCTGTGTGTAAGTTTGCTTAATACTAAATGTTGTACCCTCCTTTGCTTCTAGGAAGCAGTAATGTATGATTCTTCTGCTGAGCGTGGAGGCATACCAATGCTATTTTCCTCCTATCACTTTCAACCAAAACCCAGAGGAGGGATAGGAGGACCATTACAAGAACAGTGAGACCAGGGCCCACAGTGGGCTCTGTCTTAACCACGCTGTCCTAAGCCCTGTTATTCCTCAGCCATTTAATCTAAAACGGCGTATCACCAAGATGAAAGCATAAAGAGAGGAAAACATGGCAATAGGTTGAACGTACAGTTAGATGATTCTGGTCAACAGCATTTATTATAGACTTGTTTTCAGTCTGTTAATTCCAAGTTTGATCAATTTTGAAAAGAATAAAAAAGGCATAGCTAAGCATTAAGATTGTTCTTTAATTTACCCCTTATAGATTTTAGCTTCACTTTTATGTTTGATCTAGGATACACTATAACTGTGGTCCTACTGATTGTGCATGTGCTTGTGAACCTAGTCTCAGTCCTTCTAATAGTCTAAGTTTCTGTGACCGAACTATGAATACTCAGAAGTCAGGTTGAAAGCACTACGATTGCAACACCCCCTTCCCTAATCAGATAATTTAGCATTGTTCTTATTTTTTCCTTTTAAATGACTTGAGTTGTGTGAGGTTTGGTGTGTTGAAAGAAAAAGTGCTTTTGTCCCCCCTCCCACTTTTGTTTTGTCACATAAATTATTTGTTTGTTCCCTTTTATTTCAATGCATCTTAAAGAAATAAAGCAGGGTAATATGTGGAAGGTGTAATAATACAATAAGCAAAAAAACAAACAATTAAAACGGTTAAACAGAAGGCTCAATGAAGAAATAACCCCCTTGTCCTTGAAATTCGAAGTTGCTTTCTTTGCTCGAGATTCCTTTTTAATACAGCCATTGTGATAAATGTTTTACCATTTGCTAGGCTATTTTGTCCACTTCAGGTTAATTTTTTTTCTCTTCTTTTTATGCATATGTCAGATAGCTTGATTTGCAAAGTCACCTTTCATAAAAGTACATTTTGGAAAGTGTCGTGGTTTCGAAGGACAGTTTACATTTTCCAGAATACAAGTATAGCAAGATATCTGGAAAGCATGTGAAATATAAAGGGTACAAGGAAATTACATTTTTTTTGGGGTTTCTTTAAAACTATACAGTTTACACCATACAGTTGATCGAATCTATCAGTTGCAGCTTGATATTGTAGACACAATTTTGTGTGTTGTTTCTTTAAGTTTAGTGTAAAGTTTACGTATTTCAAGTGAAATTTCGTCCCCTTCTTTACACAACAAAATTGTGACTACTGATGATTTATAATATGGCTTCATTGTTTTTAGTTTTTTTTTTTTACATGAAAAGAATTGAGTGTTTCCAGTAATGGCAGTTTATTGCTTGAAGGTTGGCTCTTTTCATGTACTTTTCCTTCTTGTTTCAGAAATATGTGGCTGTTTCATTGTGTGCTGATGCATCATACTAAAGAGGGGTGTATAAAAGCAATATAGTATTTTGGCACACCATAATTCTACAACCTTACAATATTAAGGTTTGTTTGTGTTAAAAAATATATACATAGGGTTTATTTGTGACATATGTCCCCTCACTGCATAATGCCCAAATTACTTTTCCTACAAAGTTTGATAAGTTGCTTGCCTATATAATTTATTTTGTGGCTTTGGAGTGAGAGGTGGTAGGGATATGGTGTTCATAATGCAAAATCCAGTCCATCGTAAATTAAATTTTTGCTCTAATACCATTTTATCCATTCACTTTCATCTTCACTCTAATGGATGTGTAGCTTGCCATCTGCTAGCTTAAATCTAACCTGGATGGTGGATGGGTATCCCCCCCCCCCCCCATTTCAGTTTTGTTTTGTTACAGATGTTAGCTTGAGAAATTACTACATGTATGCTACATCAGCAGAGTGTAAATTGCTACGATGTGTGAAATTTGGCGACATTTGCTTTTTTAGAGCACCCTCAAACCCTTTTTTTTTTTTTTTTTTAAGTTGAAAAATGTGTGCATTCTTTTTCTGTACCAATGTGGGGAAACTGGTTTTAAAGCATTACTTATTTGTAAGGGGGAATTTGAATCTGGCAATGAAATAGAAAATGATATCGCCCCATTCATCATTGACCAACAGATGCCTTTGAAAAATTCCTTAATTGGGCACAAGGATTTAATTTTCTAAACTTTCTTTGGCATCAAATGTCAAATAAAATACTTTATACTTTTTTTTTTTTTTTTTTTTAAGCAAAAAGGAAAAAAGAAAATTAGTAAAATAATTTAAATGTGCTTATTCCCCTTTGCAAGTGAGAAAGTTTTTGTTGACTGCAGTCTTTACAGTAAGATCTATAGAGTATTTTTTCTATTGGTGCTAATATTCATACACTACTGCAAAGATGTAATCTTCAAATGTGTGTAAGAAAAAAATGGCCACACAATTAGTCCTTCTAAAAGATTTGTGCTTATTTTAACAGAAACGGGTTGGGCCTTGTTCTTGAGACAAGGTCAAGACCTAAAGTTTGTTAAAGTGTGTGATCCAGGACTGTAGACTATAACCTCGGAGAGATGATTTTGTATGACCCAGTTTGAAACGGCTTGTGTGTTTGTGTTTCCCCACATTATTTGCTCATTGTGGTTGTGGGAGTTTGATTATTGTTTTTCAAAGATCATAAATGAAATGTAAAGTGGTAGAAAGCAAGTATGACGGCACAAAGTTATTATACTGTATGCTATAACTGGGTACAGCAGTGCGTATACACTTCTTTATTGGATTTGTATTTAGTTGACAAATAACATGTTACAATTCAATTTAATTTTTACAGTTTAAAATGCTGTCAGATTCCGAAATTCTATTACACATTGCTGCCATCACTTTCTCCAATCAATACCCAAGTTAATCCTTGTTCTGTCAAGCACTTTGAGTTAAATATTGCCGTCCTCCAAAATTGTTACTTGCATTAGTTTGGTTTATGATAAGATTAAGAAACTTGTTTATGGTGGGTGGGTCACAGAGGACAAAATCATTTTAGATTTTGAGAAAATGCATAGATATAGTAAATGTGTTTGACAGTCAAATATAACAGAACAGCATAGACCGATTATTTACTGTTAAACAAATTTGAAATGATTCCTCTCTTAGTTTGAACAGACTCATTTTAAAATAAAATAAAAAGAGTGACAACTTTTTTTTTGTATTTTTCAAGTCTAGCTCTGTGTGCGAGGTGGTATGGTTGCTGAAGAAAGACCGAGTACTCATGTCTGTGGGAGACTGAAAATTGCATTATTTGCATTATTTTTATTATTTTTTTCAAAGGTTTTGGTTTAGTCGGTACATTTGAAGAGGTTGACTTTCAAGTTCTTAAAGGTTTAAGTTCTGATTGCAATGGTGTATAACTTTTAATGCAGAACTCTCTCAGTTTCCTTATTGCAATCATTGTGAAGTTTCTAAACCTTTAATAAACATTAGAAAAATCTTTTTTGTTGTTTATTTGTGACCGTAAGAGTCTGATTTCTACAATCACTAACCAAATTGCTAAATGTTGAATAGGTCACTTCTAGGTACACATTAAGCTTTGACTCTGGGCCAACCTGGTTATAACAGAATCAGACTGAGGGAAGTGCTTAATCTCCAAGTGGAACTCTGACCTTAAAGACTTTCCAGCACAACTTGTCACAGAAAATGACTTTACAAATACTGTAATTTGCTGTTTAAAGGATATTCTCTGTATTTTCCCTCAGTGCTTAGAGTAGGCCTAATAAAATGTTATATCCTACCCTGTACCAGCCACAGTAAAATCCAGCTACAAGTAGTTGCATGTTTCAAGTGCATTAAATCAGTACATAGGCCTATGTCTCTTGGTAGTAGTAAAATTAAAGTATATATATATATATATATATATATATATATAAAGAGGTTGTTCTGACAGTAACATCAAACACAACTGGCTGGACTCCTGGTAAGTAGACTGGTGAATTACTGCTGTTTGCAGCCAATGGTCAGGCGCATTCATTAAAGCTGGTGTGAGGAATGAGGGACGTTCACTTTAATCAGCCTGATGCAGGTTTAGGTATCTACGCATAAACAAACTTCACCTTCACACCGTGTGTACACGTGACGCGACAAAACTATAATAAATCACCGGAGAGTAGGCTACAATATGACACCGCGGGCAGCAGCAGCGTCGTAGTTTTATCGCGTCGCTCAGTGTGTACGGTGTCTACAGGCCACTTCCTCATTTACTGACTGTCGGCAATATGTCCTAACACTTTCACAACGCTCTGCCTCTCTTTAAATGACAACGTTTTGTGTGCCTGAAAAGCGACGTTACCTCCACAGGTGGATGTAGCAAGCGTTTTTGACTTTATTTGATGCAGACCATCACTTCATTCAGTCGTAGCGCAGGTGGATTTATCGATTCGCGTGGTTTCCTGGCACGTTTATATCGGTGAGGATGTTTTAAAATGGCGGTGGCAGCGTCCCAACAGGTAAGATACTTTCCATTAGCTTTTATCTCGCTGTTAGCGATACTCGTGCGCAAATAAGAGTTTAAACCTTCTGCAGTCAAGACACTTGCCGTTCTGTGAAAGTTGAGTGTCTGCTCACCCTAGGAATAGTGAAGTGCACAAGCAAGGCGAAAAGTTTTGAGTTAAGTTTAGAGTGTAGATGATAAATGAAATGCAGCAGTGCTCGTGAAAGCGAACAGTATTAATAATAGTGTTTAATGTGTTGTTTATTGGAGGGTCTGGAGTGAATGTGAGCAGGTGATGGACGCACACACATCTTTCCACCTGCAGCAGGAACATGGCAGAAGCAGAGCACACGTCCAGTCAAAGCAATGATGGTGAGTTCAAAGAAACCTTGTAGGTTATGTAACAGGTGCAGTCTCCAGGCTGTTTGTTTAGGGTCTGGCTATCAAAATGTTATCAGCAGTATTAGTATTCTTACTCATTAGCATCACTGGGTTTTGAGTCATTGGGAAAAACAGGCTACAAAACTAAAAAAGAAACTTCTATGCATCACATAAATAGTTTTGTTTAGTCATGTTTATGTGTGTATTCAACTGTGTTTGAGTGTAATCAGATGAAGCATTGAAAATGTATTTACTAATTGAGAAATCGAGCATGCACTTCAATGAATGAATGAATGAAAAGAGACTACAGGCTAGTTTCAAACTGTTTTTCAGAGCACTTGCAATATTGACAAAGTAAACCTATATTGAACATCAGTGATTACAAATGTACTAAATGCAGTGGCCATTCTGTGTTTATACAGTTGCTAGTTATGAATAATAGTGCAACAGTGCTCGCTCTCTTTTAAAGCATGGTTCCAGACCAGAAGTATTTTTCCCATAGGGATTTTCCTGATTTACTGACTATGGAACCAAAAAAAGCTTTGAACAAAAATAACCAGGTGGTGATTCACAATGATACACATTTTGATTTGAAGCAAAAAAGTATTTGGAAAACAGACAAAGAGACCTAAGATACAAGACTATTTATGTAACGCCTTTAATAAGGGAAAGAACTGCAATCACATGAAGCATTGCCAGTCAAAACATATATATATATATATATATATTGAGCTGGTGGGAGTGGTGATGTGATGTTTCCTCAGGTCTTTGGGTCACATTTTTGGTATGCTTTGAGGTTGCTTTCTCTACTCCTGCACACTTGAGTTTTCAGGTCACTCTTATTATGTAGAGAAGCTGGTCAGTGGTGTGGTGGGACTAGAGGTTGCTGTGCTATTTTACAGAGGGAAGACTCCGAGAGGTGTTTACCCAGCCATGCACATTGAGTCTTGTCACCCTTCAGTTTACCTGGAATATTGACGTATGGGGAATATAGTGTGGGCTGAGACCACAGACCTATCACCTAATGAAAAAATTGGGCCCAATTACTAATAATATGAAGTCATTTTTACATGCGTATTTTCAATAATGCATTGCATTATTTTTTGTTTTGCGTTTTAGGGTAAATATGTATGTTTATTTATATATATATATATATATTTTATTACAGTTTAAGGTGTGATTTTCCCTGATGGGTTTCTAGGATACAATTGATTTATTTTTGTCCAAGTGACCCTGAGATAAGTATAAGTAGAGATGGTATTTATTGCTAAAACTGTCTTAAAAACTCTTTTAAATTATTATTATATTATATTGTTATATTATTATTTTACCATGCATTCATGATTTTTCTTGTTTTTCAGATGCCTTTTCTGCATAAAGTTTGTTTTACACCATTTGCATGCAGTGTCACACCACTTAAGTCTGGTGTAGACATGGTGTTACAGTTGTCCCAGACCCAGTCTGTCAGTCTTAAAATTACAAAAAAAATCATAAAATATTACTACATTTTAAAATCTTTATGAACTTAACAATTAAACAGGAGTGACATTAACACTAATCGTTTTAGTATTTATTGGGTAAAATTGATTTATCCAATAAATTTCCCACTCATTTAAACCAAAAACATCCATTTTACCCCTAATGAAGGTAGTCAATCAAACATTGGTGCAGTATACTGTGTATATTGTATGAAGACAGAGTAGTTTTATATTGTGTCATTTCCAGTCAAGGTGTAATGTAGAAAGTAGAAAATATTTTTTGTGAAATTAACCTAGCAAGATGGAGTCCGCCATTTCTTTTCCCTAAAAATTTAATTTCCATCATTGTCATTTCCACCACAGAATGCTATGAAAATC